TTCATGTTTGCTATGCGGTAGCTTTCGAGGTCAAATACACCACAGGGCAATTTGTTGCGTCTTTTTATTTGTCAGAGATTAAACTTTACCATTATTATTGCATAATATTTACATTCAAGTTGCGAGTGATAATGCTACACATGATTTTTGTGAGACCATGGAGCTCCCAGTACGTCCATGTGAACTGTTGGATATGACTACAGACGGAACTGCGTCTTTATTTTATACAATATTTTTATTTTTTTAAAATTGGGATCAGTGCTCCCAAATCAACTGAGCCGACAAAGTGGATTACAAAAATAACAGTTCCATGAAAGTGGCTATATTTGTGTATGATGAATCCTGAGTCGGTAGTTTTGGCATGTAACCTAATGGTTTTGGTTATTGTTACAAATGCACAGTGCAGACGTAATTTTGTTTTCATTTTTTCACTTTATCTGGCGACAGTGCACGTATGCTTGGATGTTTTTTTATTCAGTGATTGGGCTAAATATTTGACGACGTTGCCAACGTATTCAACATACGAAAATAGCATGTGTGTGCGTTTGCGTGAATGATAGATGCAGACGAGATTTCTCGTCGCAACGCGTTTTATTAGTTTATTTCCAACGCGAGTGGTCGGCGCCTTTGATTGCGTTTAGTTTGTTCTTTCATTCGCAAAATCTATCGCTGGCACCGTTTATTAGTCCCCGTTAAAACGGGGACTTATAATTTGGTCTCCGTTCGTCCGTGTGTCCGTGTGTCCGTCCGAAGTCGTATCTCAGAATCCCTTGGACCGATTCCATTCATTCTTTGCATGTGCCCAGTACCTTATGTGGGACATATGCACATGCAGTGGTTTAGCGATTCGATTCAAAATGGCCGACTGGCAGCCATCTTGTTTTTTGAAAATGTTGTATTTTGAACATGCTTTGTCAGTTTTCATTCAAACTTGGTACATAGATTATACATGTTAGGATACATGTCCATGACGATTTATTTCACAATTGGATCAAAGATGGCCGACTGGCAGCCATCTTGTTTTTTTGAAAATGTCTTATTTTGGACATGCTTTGTCAGTTTTCATTCAAATTTAGTACATAGATCATACATGTTAGGATACATGTCCCCGACCGTCC